CAACCATACATACAAACTGATGATGGAGGAGAAAAATACCGAAACGTTTTTGTAATATTTTAAATGGTAAACAATAAAATTGACTGGAACCCAGGAATTTCTGTTGAATTAAGTTATTTTTTGTGCTATTTTGCCCCGCCAAAACTAACGACAAAAATTATAATGAAAACTAAATTGAAGCCTGGAAATACTTAATCAATCCATTATTGCCCATGGTTCAAATCAATCCATGTCTATTGAAGTTCGATTGAAAACTTGCGCCATAAGAAGCCAATGAATCCGATTGAGTGTACTTATTCTCAAAATAATATTGAAATTTTTTAGAACTTTGTAGGCTTTTTTTGAATAAAATGCGCAATTTTCGAATATTAACATTAAAAACTCCGTCAAACTGTGAACCTTGACGTGCTGAATGCATCACGTTTTTAAGTAAAGTTATTTTTGTTTAACTACAGAGACGGCGCTGATTAAGTAAAAAGGATTATTTCAATAAAAAATTTGAATCCAAAATTTGTTTGTGAAAATTTTTAAACTTTCGTTAACAGCGCAATTTAGGAGGCAGTTTACTTTAGCCCCCAAAATTGCCTTAGCAAAAACATGACAATTTTCAATTAGTTGTTTAATACATTTTATGAATAAAAATAAGCGCCAACATAATAAGCAAAAATTGGGATTTGGATTAAATATAAATAGAAAGCAAAGTGCATTTTAGAGCAAATACAAAATATTTTCAAGTAAACTTGGACAGAAAAATTGAAAGCGATTGAAAGTCTAAAAGTATTTCTTAAATATTGTCGTGCGTTTCAATGCGAAATAGCAATCCATTTTGATCATAACCGTATTGTTATATTATGGGTTCTGGCAACATAAATGCCACACATTCAGCATGTGAGAAAAGCCTCTAGTGACCATAAAAGACTACGTTATAAGGCATTACAAGTGAAAAACTCCACAAGCTGTCGCTCTAAAAAACTGGTCTTTCAGGCCTACGAAGTGTTACATTATTATAAATTTATGTGATTTTGATTGGCGATTATTGAAATTTAATGAATGCTGATAATAAAAAAAATTTACACATATTTTACAGCTTGATTAGTAGACGTTTTCCTTTGTTTTATACACGGTGGCCTGGAAACTGTTGTGCCATACATTCTACAACAACTGAAAATAACAGTTTTTTTACGTGCTGTTCAAGTTATTTATTATGTTTGCATCTAATTACTAGCTAAGTGCTGGTTTTTTATTATCTTGATAAATTAGAAATGACACCGGAGAATCTTAGCGCGTGAAAATCGCTTTTACAGTCGATATCTGAAGAACCGGAGGTGAGCCTGAGGCGTTTCACTCAAATATAAATTTTTGACCTGCATTGATAGAGGAAGAAAAGGAATCATTCCAAATGTCGCTACACTCGGAGGCAAAAAAGTTTCTTAGGGGCAAACGCACCCTATGAAAGAAACATTGTTACTTTAAACATTTAATTGTCATGTGTAATACAGGGGATTTGCGCAAATTAGAAGCAGTGTCTTTGTTAACGTAAGTAAATTCGATTTTTCCGTGCACTCGAACTGAATGGCGGCAAAGAGACAATTCGATTTATATAAAAATGTGAGTCCCTTGCGGGGCCCCATTAAGCCAATTGCGCTCAAAACGGCGGCCCAGTGGTAGTGAAACATGGCCATCTGTATCGTATTCCAAAAATATTATGACAATGGGGCAATAGTGCAGAAAATCATCATCCTTTTTCGGATTCACTCAGCGTAGCCGCTTGAACGTGGAATAAGCTTTCAGCGAAATCTAAAATTAGTATTTGGTCCATACACGCGCACCCTCAGCATTATTAAAAACACAGACTATCAAATTTTAACCCTTCAAATTTGACGCACCCTTTTTTAAAGTATTAAGAGGTTGAATCATATATTATGGGGGCACCAGCATTCGGTTTCGGTGGAGTTTTCTTTCTCTTCACGTTCATCGGTTTTGTATCTATATGTATACGGGTTGTGAGTTTTTAGTGGAAGATTTCCTTTTTATTCTGGAATAAACGAAATGAGCTGATGGTTTTTTTTTCAGCGATGATGCAGCAGTCGATGTCCACGTCGTTGCAGCCGCGCGACAGTCTGTCCTCATCCGGGATGCTCATCAACAAGTCTTCGCAAGTGGACTATTCGAAGTACGTAAAAAAATTCGCCTCCAGCGTCGAATGTGGCAGCACGTATTGCAAAGATCTCAACTACAGGTGAATGGTGTAGTTCTAGTCGAATATTTTCAAATAATCAAAAACTCCGTTTCAGAGAACATTTCCACTGTCTCGACTGCAACTCCCGGGTCTTCATCAAGAAGGAGGAGATGATCCGGCATTTCAAGTGGCACAAGAAGCGCGATGAATCGTTGCAGCACGGTTTCATGCGCTACAGCCCGCTGGACGATTGTAGCGACAAATTTTCGAACTGCACACACAACAAGAAGCAAACGCACTATCACTGCATTCAGGAAAACTGTGATAAAGTATACATATCGACCAGTGATGTGCAGATGCACAGCAACTATCATCGCAAGGACAGCGCTATTATGCAAGAAGGATTTCAAAGGTATGTCAAATTTCAGACTCTGTGTATATGCAAATTGGGTGAAAAAGCGAACATTGAGCTCTACAATAAGGATGTTTGGATTAGGGCTCGGAATCAAACTCAAATAATTCGAGTATTCGAATATTCGAATATTCGAAAAGCGAATAATTATGTGTAGTCATAACTCGAATATTCGAATATCCGAATACTCGAATACTCGAATACTCGAATAATCGAATACTCGAATACACCAACATTATCAAACTCACAAGGTGCAAATATCTTTATGTGCACTTAGTGCGGACAAAGGCAGTGTTTTATCCGTTGCGGCTAGTTGCCAAAAATAATATGAGATAACGATTTTTCTTCTTGGAAAATGGAAAATACGAATAGAAATACTCGAATATTCGAATACTCGAATATTCGAATACTTGAATATTCGAATATTTGAATATTCGATTATTCGAATATTCGTTAGATATTCGAGCATTCGAATAATTTTACTATTCGAATAAACCACTAAACGAATATTCCAAAATCAGATTTTTAAAAATTCCGAACCCTAGTTTGGATAGCGGATTTGGGACGGGATTCAAACAGTTTTTGTTCTGTCGAAATGGTCGATGTTTGCACCTTTTTTGGCCGATTTTAAATTAGGAATTTTTAAATTAGGAAACTGGCTGGAAAAAGTCCCACTATCCAAACATACAAATAAACAGAAACAGACAATACTTTCTTAAACCTCGAATTTTGGTCAAAAAATTCATAAGGGAAATGTGTCCATTCGTTGATAAGCGAGACGCGTCTTGATCTTGCAAAAGATAATGCGATTTGAACCTGACTAACTCTGTACTCGTAGTCCTTAAATGTGACAAGAAAATTGAACCGTTTTCCTTTGCTCATC